GGTGGTGTCTCCTGATTGCAAATTGCAGTAGAACGGACCAAACATATCTCGCTAAGCAGTCGTTGGTAGTGTTACGCAGCACGTGGCCTAAATGTCCCTAAAATTTGCCGGGCAGGGAGGCAACGAATGTACACGAAAATAAACTGACTATAGGGTGGTATGACGAATTGGCAAAAATGACTGCACACACCCGCAGTCACAAAGGTAGTCACCCACGTGAGGAGCACTTAATGTCTGGAGTTGATTTAAGACTGAGACTCTGATCATCAGATATGAGCCGATCCATTCAGCGATCTTCCACCGACATAAAGAGCATTCAGTTTTCTTCCTGCGACTCATGTCGCTGGCGGATTCCTACTTCCCCCATTTGTAACGCGACGTTTTCTATTTGGCCGCTTTAATCCCTGACGATGGACGCCTACAACAGCCCGAACGCTAAGATGAATAAAGCTGTTCGAAACTCCCCAGAGGTTTCCTTTGTGCATAATCCACTTTACAAACTTTTATAATAATAGAATGGATACCGTCCGTTTCCAAGTCAAAAGCTACACTTATACACAGCAGCAACTGTATATTGATAATTCTGTCAGTGTCTCAAAACTGGTTGTCACAGTATAAAGAGGTAGCGGTATCGCAACGTATAGGCAAGATGCCTTTATGTAAAAGCAAGTGTCGAATATGACTTACGAAGAAATCGAATGGGGTGTTTCACATCATGTCGCTAAACTTTCCCCAACAATTCATAGCAGAGAATGGACGCACGCTTAAATCGCGCACACAGGTGCATACAACAACCGTTGGGTGGGATGCCGAATGCGCAAAAAATAGCTGCACGCCCCGCCGTCGTGAAATTCATATCCCCCTGGATAAGCACTGCATTTCTGGATGGATCGATACATAGATCTACTAACGACATATAGAACCTTCAGTTGTCATATTCGTGCTGGCCTCACCGGCATTTGTTAGAGCCTTGCTTTCCTCCACGTATTGAAGTTCGTTACCTTTGGTGACTGCTTTTATCTCTGATTATGGATTTTTACTATAGCCCGAAAGATCCTAATCGTAACGGTGGACAAGGAGTCTGTGCCATTGTTATAAATAAAAGAACAACCCCAAATCTGGTTTCTCAAGGTTAAACAAAGGTCATTCTTCACTTATTAATAAGAGAACTGACACTGTCCTTCGATAACACAAAGCATATTTTAATGAATCGTAGGATCAGCTTATTTAGCTGATGGTGGTGTCTCTTGTTTGCTAGTTGCAGTAGAGATTCTTAGCAGTCTTGCAAAGTGCAGCAAGTTGTCTTCATGCGTAAGCCGAAACCTGACTTAAGAGTACGGCATTAGGTGAGTGTGCAGTTGGCACTTACAACTTTGAAGCCCGTTTGACAGTGACAGGTGGTGGCGAACAGACCGAAGAAGCAGAAGGCGCTCACGCATCCGCCGACGAGTAAAAGGACTACCCAAGCGGAACCTGTTTTTTTATTGAAGACGAAAAGCACAATTATGGTACATGTGCTGACTAAAAATGTTGATCGTAAATGCTGCAGCATTACTGCAGATTATTATGTAATGAAGAGCAAGTCTGCTGTGGCATGTTCACTACGAACATTACCACAGGGGTGTATGGAGGCAGTATACACATCAGCATGCTATTTACAATAAATTAATAGCTACCAAAACATTAGTTTATGTAGTGTACCTCATTTATTTCTATTCGCAGCATTTTCTCTTAAGAAAACGGTGGTTAGGTTTTGAATTTCGATATGTTGTGGACTACACTTTAATAATTGCTATATGTTTTTAATTCTGCAAACGGCGGAAGTCTGCCTAATTCGTGACAAGGCTTGGTAAAATTACTGCTCGAACTTGCAAAGCCTTCTAATGAATTTGATGCTAGATTTACTGAGGTGCAAAGATGTACCTGAACTCCAGTGCACCGCATTTGAAACATCAAACAGTTTCAATAGGTCTTGGTACTGCAAATAAATAACAGATTGCCTATTATACACAAATCTGTCGAATACACGTGCACTGAAACGCTATAAGAGATACTCCCGAACGATGGCTGCTATACTGCAAACGGCGCATAACTAGTAAGAAACACAGAAACATTTTTGTTTTCTTAAATGCATTTAAACCTATTAAGTAATAATCATAAAATAAAAAGTTAGCACCCTTTAAACCATCCTTCATTGTTAAATTTGAAAGCAAGGCCGTCTCATTTTCATTTGCCTATGTAGCATTTAAGGACAGTCCGCAAAAGACTGATTTCTGCCAAGAAGAGAACAATAAACAACCGAGGTTTCAGGCTCATTTGAACAAGAGTGCTTCAGTTTAGTTTTATCCTCAGTGACGTGCGTACCACGTTTATCCGCAAGTAACCACAGCTTGTCAACTTTATTGCCATTTAACATTTACCGAAAACGCTAATAGTGTTACTTATCTTATCAAATGGATTTCTGGATTTGCTTTTGTGTAAAGCTCTGCACTGTGTTTGAACCCATTAGTAACCTGTAGTAGACTTAACGACTGCGACCAGTTTACAGGTACGACTAGAGATACCTAATTACATAATTGCCATTTTGAAGAAAAATATGCATAAAAGGCATGTGTTGGAAAATGATAAGACGACTTTCGAAACGAAGAGTGCTTTGTATTCAACGGCACGTAGTAAGTAAACATATAATTTGCGTTTGTTTCTAAAATGTGCAGTAAACACATAATTAAGGCTTACATGTAGTAATTAACTTTATTTGTTGTTAAATTCTATTTTCTAATCGTTCGTGCGTTGCTAGCGCAGAAACTATAGTCGTTTATTTTTCCTTTGTCTATGGACTAATAAAGGTTCGTCCTCAAAATATTTATTTTCATATACGCCTGAACGAGTTGTATTATGAGGTGGGAGCAGCAGCCGAGATGTCATAGGCATCTTAAGCACATACACATTCTCAAAGTATTTGTGCAAAGTTTATATAAAAATTTTACCTGGTAGTTTAACATATATCTTGTCACATTAATTTGAGCCAATGAGAGGATATAACCTCGAGCAATACTTTTCTCAAGGCAAACTGTCGTTTTTTAATTTAAAGTTACTAATTGTTAAAGACAGTAGTTTGGTT